CAAGAGGAGATTTCAGTAGTTGAGAAAGGCCCACAATAGAATTTTTTACTCACTCTCGCAACTTCTTCCTACATAAAAACTAGAACAATTAAAATACGACACACAAGTTCGTACCATTATTTTTTCTAGTTTCTCTCTAACAATTTTTTCTCTCTTGGATGCACGTCATTCTCTGGCGGAATTCACTTTACCTTGGTCCAAGCACAGTTCTTCTCAATTTAATGCCATTAATTTATAGAAAAGACCGTTGGAACTCTTTTAATAAGTTTCCTTGTACCATAAGATTTCTTTCTCAATATTTCCATTTTTCCTGTCAAACCATAATTCCATTTTCCTGTTGGGAAAAATCGCCTCAAACGCAGGAATTGAGATTAAGGACAAATTGAAATAATAAAGATCACAAGAAAAAGAACGAGATTAAAGTAAAGAAAATAGAGGAGAAATTGGCAAAGGAACCGATGTTTTATTCAATAACAATATGGAGAGAAATTACAAGAACTTAGCAATATTGGCTTCTAAATAATTGAAAGATGAGCATCCCTATTTATACTACACGTACAAAACCCTAGGGATATGTCAAAATTATGGAAATAATGAACTAACACATGAAAGAGAGATACTGGCGCAGCCTAGAAGGTATCCTAGGTGATTTTCTTGCCATAAAATCTTGGATCCAATTTGACACTTTCCAAGCTCCTTCCACCATGTGTCCATCAAATATGGTAATCCCCCAATTTGGGTCACTTATCCCAACACATAGTCCACACTGCCTTCTGTTATCTCTAATTCATTAACAAAGGTGAAAGAAGAGAATTACTCGGAGTATTTGTGTAGATTCCCTTGCTAGGCTGCTGTATAGTTTCCGTTTAGGATAATATTCTTTTCATTCTTTCTACATAATGTAATCAATCTGTAAAAGGAGATGTGGATAGAAGAATCAATATGATGAGACAATTCTTCCAAAAATTTTGCACTCTGCCTACTTGATTATTTTCCTTTTCTTAAACACAGGGGTAAGTACTTGAAGCTTTTATGACAAATAATTTGTAGGAGTAAACAAACTTTAGAGATTGTTTGGGACACATTCTTTTGAAGAGAATATATTATTGAATAGTAGATTGATGGAGAATGTGTGGTTAAAAATGAAGGAAAAGTTATTGATGTGGTAGAAAATATTATTTTATTGGAGAATGTGTGGTTGAAAATGAGTAGAAGAATGAGAATGAAAAAAATAATGTGTACCAAACATAGCTTTAATCTAAGTTTTAATCAAGCAAATAAAACATGGAAAAAGGAACTAAAGAACAAAATTATGAAAACTTGGTTTGATCTTAGATTTTGGATGTAGGTGAATCAATTTGATGTTTGTGATATATTTTCAATCATAAAAACCACTAATATATATGGAATTACAATCATCGTACACGAAAATGTGCAAAAATAAAGCTAAAATGGTGTGAAACCCTTCTAAATGACACTAGAATTCAAAACTCCAACAACCAAATTTTTGTACTAGGCGGGCGGGCGCCCTCCAGTTCAACAATATGGCCACTGTAATTACAACACAAGACCAAGCGACCGCCCACACCATTTTTTGGTATTCACCGTTTTTTGTTCTCGTTTTATTTTTGCTTGCTTTTCTCATAGTTAACCACTTCCATAATTTTCAAAATCACTTCTCGTTGTTAATTTGAATAATATTCAACAATCGCCCACTTGTTTAAATATAAAATGAGTGCAAACTCAAGTTTAACGATATTTATGAATAAATTATGGATATCTTTTGATTTAAATCCAACCTTAGTATAAATCTCACAAAGTAATCATCGAAATCCTAGGTAGCATGAAAGCTGTGAACCTATTATTCTTTGTGATGTAGCGGTGAAATCACATACACAAGTATCAAATGTTCTACGTTCCACACGATCTCGTTTAAGGCTCTTATGGCCTTGCGCTTCTCCTATTCATATCTCATAAGAGAGAAACTCCAACTCTCTATTGAAGCGACACCACCTTGAAGTTTATATAGGTAAGTTCTTGCAGTAATTTTGTGACTTGATACTTGATCAACGATTTGAACCTTATTAAGAGTTATAAAAACTCAATCCTCATATTCGTGAGAATCAACACTTATAACCTATGATAGGATTTAAAAGAAAAAATAATTGTTGAATCTATCCACTTATCGAATATTGAATGACTTGTTATTGTCCTTTGAACTCGATATATAATTGTTAGTATAGTCCGGTAGGGTTGCCATCATTGATGAATTTAATTACGGAGTTTCAATCCCATTCTTCTAGTAGTTGTCACACTAATTCTCTTATAAGCGGTTTAGTTAACGGTTCAGCCAAAGTCTCATTTGAAATTACATTAGTAAGTGAAATTATTCCTTTTTTTATTAATTTCCTCACGTAATCATGTCTTAGACTCATATGTCTAGACTTACCATTATTCACTTCATTATATGCTTTAGCTAAAGTATCTTGACTATCACACAAGATAGATATGAAAGAATTATTCCTTTATCTAAATGAAATGTCATACATTAAATCCAAGTCTTTCGACTTCTTTTTTGGTTTCAGCTAATGCCATAAATTCGAATTTCATAGTTGAGTGAGTAATACGTGTTTGTTTCTTGGATTTCCAAGAGATTGCACCTCCTCCAATGGTAAATACCCAACCTGAGGTTGATTTATTCACACCAACACTATATATCTAACTAGCATCAGTAAATCCTTCTAGTATTGCTGGAAATTTAGAATATTGGAGACTTTAATCCTTGATTTTCTTCAAATAAACAAAAACCCTCTTAATAGCATTCCAATATTCTTTACTTGGATTGCTAGTAAACAGATTAAGTTTAATAATTGCAAATGTTATGTCTAGTCTTGTACATTGCACATCATACATTAGACTACCGATAGTACTTGCATACTCAAATTGTACTATATCCCTTCCATCATTCTTTACAAATTTTAAACTTTGATTGAATGAAATGTTAGACTCTTTAA